AGAGAGAGAGAGAGAGAGAGAGAGAGAGAGAGAGAGAGAGAGAGAGAGAGAGAGAGACTGTCTCCCGACACTGGGAAACATTTTATACTACTTCTACTCAGTTTCAACAAGCTAAAAAGCACCATTTCACCCTTGATGCATGATGTAAATATTAGCTCTGGCCAAATCATAACCAGTCCTCCTCTTGAGAGTTTCTTTTGTTTTCTTTTTCCTTTTTTGTTAATGTATTTGGTACAGGGTCTCACTACACAGCTTAGACTTGTAAAAATTATTTCACTCCTACTATCTCAGAAAGTAAGAGAAAAGACCACTAAATAGGAAGTATAAGAGGTACAGATGATGCCTTAGAGGAGATTCTTAAAGCCTCCCTGCTTCAAGAGAAGAACCAGATGGTTAGTGGGATTCACCAATAGGTGAGTGAGGGTCCCACAACAAGAGAGAGGACCCTCAATCAAGTCCACTGCAGAAAACATCCCGGAAGTGTTCTCAGCAGCCCAGTGGAAACACAGATGATACAGATGTGAACTTTGAAATGATGCTAGCATTTATTATTTCTATTTTTTTCCATAATTTTATTGAGAAATAAATAGCAGTGAGACAGTTTCAAATCAAGTTGGTAGGACAGTTCCAATAATTAACACATTGAATACTGCCTTCCTAGTGGTTACTTGGTGTACAAGATGCAGCCATGATATCCTATTTACAAATACTATTAGAACAAATCCCTCTATTCATTAAGAGAATGTGAGTATATATTTATCCTAACCAATTTGAATACACAGATACAAAATGGTCATTCATCTATATTCCCTTTTCTTATTTAGTTCCATCACTTAAATATTATAGGTGTGTGAACTCAGCAAAATATTCCAAAATACTCCAGTAGTCCATAATAGTATTAGGTCTTCCACTTGACTGGCAATATCTGTTGACCTGAGTCCCCTACAGTTCAACATAACAGCATGGCTTTACTTCTTATACTTCGTTTTTGTACTTTTCTGCTGGATGGTTAAGATCAAGATAAAGCACAACCTATGTAACAAGAATTATAGCTTTTGGATCTGATAAGGTCAGGCAAATCCCCTCAGGATTTATCCTGAGACCCTGAACCTCAGATTGTAGAACCTTTGTCAGTGTCAGCCATGTGGATGGGTCACGGCCATTGCTTGGCCAATTTGCTGTCTGTGAAAGACTGAAAAAATGTTTTCTCTCCATATGACTCTCCTTAGGCACACTATACATCATCAATCACTTTCCTTTTTGGCCCCATAATCTCCTTGGTCAGAAAATGTGGGACACAACTGAGTTACATAATGTTACAGTACAGATTCTCATATGTCCTGAGTCTTAATTGTCCTTGGAAAGCTTGAGCCAAAATGTTGGCTTTCCTTGTGGCCCTCCTTTTCTCTAACTTTAAGTCTTTAAACTTAGGTTGTTAACCCTCCAGAAGAGAAGCTTATTGTTATGACCATATAACCTAGGCTGTTGAGCTTAACCTCACTATCTGTCTGAATATCAAACACCTTAGGCATATCATGGAAAAGATATTTTTCATAAAGTATTGATATATTAAACTTTAAGTCCCTACAGAATATGACAAAAAATTAGAAAATTAAACTATTTTAAAAATAAGAATAAAGAATTATATATATTTACACATAAGACCAGAAATCTAACCATATACAACATTGTTGCAGGACAGTCCTGCAACACTCCTTTTCCCATCTCCTGCCTTCATTCAACACCCCCTTCCTTTTTAAATAATCATCAATCTGAGAGACAGCTCAGCAGCAACTGGCATGTCATGACAAGCAGCACGTATTCAAAAGACCAGAATGACAGGCACTCCAAGCATGAACCCACTATTACAAATTGCGATCTTCAGTGCAGTTTCTTAGTTCACGTGTGTCAGTATATATAGTTAGTCAGGGAGAGAATCCTTCCAATTAACTGCTAGATTGAAAGATCTGAAGATTCTCAGGATCATTGCCTTGCCCATCTTGTACATATAACTGTATGGCTTGCCTCGGTCATGTTTCCTGGCTCTTCTCCTTACTCTCTCTTCATTGGCTAGTCCTCAAGTTATTGCTTTTCTTTTTAATGTATTGTACCTTTCTATATGTATTTCTTCTTTTGAGTTCTTATACTAGGGAAACTATATGATATTTACACAATTTACACATGTGTGTTTGGTTTATTTCACTTATGAGCATATCATCAAGTGGCATCCACTTAAATATAAAGCCTTCAAGTTTATCATTCTTTATAGTTGAGTAATATCCCATTGTATAAAAATACCACATCTTTTTCATCCATTACTCAGATGATGGGCATCTTGGTTGTTTCTAAGATTTGGCTATCACAAATTGTGCTGCTATAAACATAAGCACACATATATCATTATGATATGATATTTTCAGATCCTCTGGGAAAATTCCCAGTAGAGGAATAGCTGGTTTAAATGAGATTTCCAGTCTAAGTTTTCTAAAGAGTCTCCACACTGATTTCCATAATGGTTGCACCAGGCCACATTCCTACCAGCAGTGAGGGTTCCTTTTTCCCCACAGCCTCTCCAATATTTGTTGTTGGTTGATTTCTCTATGATAGCCATTCTTTCTGGTGTGAGATGATATCTCAATGGCATCTTTTTTTTTAAACATTTTTTTAATTTTATTTATGTGTGTGTGTGTGTGTGTGTGTGTGGCACCAGCTCAGCCCACCAGAGGGCAGGGCTGGCTGGCATGTGGTGCTGTGGGATTGAACCGTGGTCCCTGTGTTTTGCCAAGCTTGTTCCAAGTAGGTGCTTTAGACCACTGAGCCATCTCACCAGCCTCAATGTCATTTTAATTTGCATTTCACAGATGGCTAGTGATGTGGAGCATTTTTTCATATATTTACTCACTTCTTTAATTTCATCCTCTGAGAAGTGTGTGTTCATCTCAGATGCCTATTTCTGGATTCAGTCTTTAAATTTTGGGACCCTAGTGTTCTTTAGTTCTTTATAAATTCTATACAGCAGATCTTTTGTTGCGCACGACCTCGCCAGCAAGGAAGACGCAACACACAGCTCTTCCTTCAGCGGTTTATTCAGGCCCCTTACAGCAAGCTTCTTCTTCTCCAATCCCCCAGCCCTTGG